AGCACGTGCCAGAGTTCAACTTCGCGTTGAACTCGGCAACTCATAGCGCGACAGGCTATAGCCCGGCTATGCTCGTTTTCGGACGACAACCCACTCCTTCCTCGACCTTTAGAAGGGCCCAGGATCAGCTAGCCCGAGAAGCTGGGGGTGAGCATATGCGCCTGTTGCCCAAATTATGGGAACGCGCTGGCTCCAAGTCCAGGGAGGAGGCAGATCGTCAGGCGGTCTATTACAACAAGAGGAGACGTCAGACCGACTTTAGGGTTGGGAACTGGGTGTGGAAACGGAACCGTATCCTATCTTCCGCAGCTCAGGGCGTGTCGGCAAAGTTGGCGCCGAAATATGCTGGCCCGTATATCATCGAAGTGGTATGTGGGACCAATACCTACCTCCTCGGTAACCAGCAGGAGATATTGCCCGAGCTGGTCCACGCCAAGGACCTCAAGCCCTATTTCGGTCCATTCTCGGACCAAGACGACGAGGAGCCGGAACATGGTGACTCAACACCGCTGGATGAAGAGGAGGGCGCAGGCGACTCGCCCGCGAAGGTCGACGGTTCCAGCGGGAATCCTCTATGCAAGCGCGCCGCGGCAGCAGCCCCCGCGAATGCGTGCGACGAGTCCGTAGTGGCTCCAAAGACGCTGACCGAGGCGCCGGCCAAGCAAGGCCGCGGTAGACCGCGCAAGAACCCCGTGAGTGAGCCCCAGGCGTTGGGTAGCAGTGACCCGGATGGCGAGAAACCAAAGGGAAGGGGCAGGCCCCGTAAAACCATCAAGCACGTGCGGAAGACTGTCCTGCCAATTCCCCTCGCAAATGAGCCAAACGCGCGAGTGAAGCACGGGGAACCGGGACGTCCTCGTAAAGCGTAGCGTCAATCGTGACATAACGCCGGTTAGGGTAAGGGCAAACCTGAAACATCCCTTGATCGCACTCTTCTCTTTTACAGATGGAGAGGAAACTGGTGATTGGAGAAGAGGCTTTCGAGGTGGTCACTCCTCGACCTGAAGCTGGGTCCGGATGCCGATCGGCTGATCGGCGAAGTCAGGAGTTTCGTCCGGGCCCAGGTAGAGGTGGCCACCCGAGAGGATCGCCCACACCAGCGGGTGGACGACTTCCTCCGAGAGGGGTTAAGGACGCCGCCAAGGAAGGCGCAATCCCGGGAGGCGTCCACCGAGACCGACGGCCCGTTTGAAAAGAACCGTCGGTCTCCATCCACCGTGGACCAGGGGGTGCAGACCCCGGGGTCGAGCAAACCAGAGGTGGCCGACAGCTCGACCCAGTGCCCCAGGCCAAGGGAGGCCTGTGGTCCGGAACAGTGGGTCTGCAACCACCCCCGCGTTCCCGAGCAACAGGAGCTCGAGAACTCCTGGAGGCATGTGAGGTTGGGTCTCCAGGGGCTGGAAAATGCCTGGGAGTTCGTTGGGAAACTCCAACGCCAGGTGCGTACGCACCTGGACCAGTTCCTCGACTTCCAGGGAGCCCGGGAGTTTATCGGAGAGTGGACTCCGGTGGTCCGGCGGCAGAAGGCCTATGGAGAGGCCCTGCTGCGTGTGGACCGGGGGCAGGAGTCCCCAGATGTCGCGGAACCGCCGGTAGCAGTACAGCCGACGGTACCGGGAGGCAAGGCCGCGACCAAGACTCCTGCCAAGCCCCCGGTGCAGGCTCAGCCGAAGAGAGCCTCGGGGGCCCCCGGCGCCGGACAGCAGTTCACGGTCCACGTGGACGGGTCGAAGGTTTCCGACCCTACCGTGGTGGTGCGGACACACGGTGGACGCACCTCCGCCACGGTGGGCGGCGTGACATTTACCGCCACCCCGGGAACCTCGACCCCACAGCCACCTCCATCTGCGGGGAATCAAGGACCAGGGCCAACGCCTGGTTCCTCCAGGTCGCAGTGGAGGGGCTGTTCCATCTGCGGCCACCCCGGGATCACCACCACATCAAAGTGCCCGAACAAGGGGGCACATTGGCGCTATCCCCGCAGCAAGGGGCCAGGGGGCGCCGACCGATGACTCCGGGTGTATAGTGGCCCGGGTGGGGCAATAAAATGTTTTTTTGCAAGATTGACGCATGGTGATTTCTCCCCGTCCTTCTCCTGTCCTTAGGATCGCGAGTCGGTGTAATAGTTCGGTCCGGTAGTCCGAATCTAGGAGAGGGCTGCAACGATTGCCGAAAATCGTTATGCCTCGCGCGAACCGTCAAGCGTGGCTAAGCGTAATAGCCGTGATAAGCTTAGGTTAAAGAGAGGGGGGGGGGGGGTTAGGGGCAACGTCCCACACAGCATGAAATATTTCAAACGAATCTTTCAAGAAATATTTCAAAGAAATATTTAAAAAACGTTTCCTAAATATTGTAAAAATATTTCGAAATATTTCTATGAAATCTTTCAAAATTATGTTTCAGCAAGATCGTTGAAATATATTATGAAATATTTTTCTGAAGCTCTCATGAAATATTTCATGAAATATTTCTGAAAGATTGAGCAATTATTTCATAAAATATTTATTAATAATATCACTGAAATATATCTCGAAATATGGAGGAAATAATTTCCGAAATGTTACTGAAAGTTATTAAAAAATGTTTCACCGCAAGATTTCGAAAATATTTTTGAAATATTTCCATGGAATATAATATTTTGCTTTCACGCAATATTTCAGGAAATATTTCCGAAAGATTGCTGGATACTGGCATGGAATATTTCCAAAAAAACTCGGTGAAATATTACTCGGAACATGCCTAATAAGTGTTTTAAAATATTTCTGCAATATTGAGTGAAACATTTCTCTGCAATCTTTCAGAAAGGTTTCTGAGAGGTTTCGGTTCGAGATTGAATTTTACATTTTTGCAATCTTTCGAGAAACATTTCGGAAAGATTGCTGGATACTGGCATGGAATATTTCCAAAAAAACTCGGTGAAATATTACTCGAACCGTGCCTAATAAGTGTTTTAAAATATTTCTGCAATATTGAGTGAAACATTTCTCTGCAATCTTTCAGAAAGGTTTCTGAGAGGTTTCGGTTCGAGATTGAATTTTACATTTTTGCAATCTTTCGAGAAACATTTCCGAAAGATTGCTGGATACTGGCATGGAATATTTCCAAAAAAACTCGGTGAAATATTACTCGAACCGTGCCTAATAAGTGTTTTAAAATATTTCTGCAATATTGAGTGAAACATTTCTCTGCAATCTTTCAGAAAGGTTTCTGAAAGGTTTCGGTTCGAGATTGAATTTTACATTTTTGCAATCTTTCGAGAAACATTTCGGAAAGATTGCTGGATACTGGCATGGAATATTTCCAAAAAAACTCGGTGAAATATTACTCGAACCGTGCCTAATAAGTGTTTTAAAATATTTCTGCAATATTGAGTGAAACATTTCTCTGCAATCTTTCAGAAAGGTTTCTGAGAGGTTTCGGTTCGAGATTGAATTTTACATTTTTGCAATCTTTCGAGAAACATTTCCGAAAGATTGCTGGATACTGGCATGGAATATTTCCAAAAAAACTCGGTGAAATATTACTCGAACCGTGCCTAATAAGTGTTTTAAAATATTTCTGCAATATTGAGTGAAACATTTCTCTGCAATCTTTCAGAAAGGTTTCTGAGAGGTTTCAGTTCGAGATTGAATTTTACATTTTTGCAATCTTTCGAGAAACATTTCCGAAAGATTGCTGGATACTGGCATGGAATATTTCCAAAAAAACTCGGTGAAATATTACTCGAACCGTGCCTAATAAGTGTTTTAAAATATTTCTGCAATATTGAGTGAAACATTTCTCTGCAATCTTTCAGAAAGGTTTCTGAGAGGTTTCAGTTCGAGATAGATTTCGCTTGTTTACAATCTTTTTAAGAAATATTTCGGAACGATTGCTGAATACCGGCATGGAATATTTCCAAAAAAATATAGCTGAAATATTATTCGAAACACGTCGCCAGCGCCATTGCTCGGTCACTTTTGTAGTCCAAACTTTACTTCTCACTGCAAACTGTCATTCCGTCGTTTGTACTGACACTGACGGGGGACATCTACACGAGGCACATTAAAAGTATTTATCAATACGTGATTATTGAATAATAAAAAAACCAGCTACTATCATTCTTTTGAATCATCAGGTAAGTTATATTATTTATGTAAGTTACATATTATTTAATGTGCATCAGCGAAATTTGTGTTTTAGAAAGGTTACGACCACGCGTTCACACATAAATTTTATTTTAACCAGACTGAATATAAAATTATCAATTATCTATATTATATTTTTAATTTATATTATGTTTATTCAGTTTAGTTGTTTAAATGTTACTATTTGACCTTATGTGAAGTTTATTTGAACTTTATCTTTTTAAGTGTGTTTAAAATTATAATCAACAACTGTTGCAATTGATCAGATCTTGGTGGATTATTTTAAGTCTTATAACAAAATTAGCAGTTTTCTTATATATTTGAAAATTGAATATAAATCTAATGTTTTGTAAAATTCGATTTATCAAATTATAATTACCTAAAAATGCTTTATTGATTTTTGAGGGTTGACCTATAATTAAAATTGAATTCATATATTGGTCTACATGTTTTTTAATGTTTTGACAACAGATTCTAAGCCTCTTCAGGAAATTTGTTTATTTAAAAATATGAATTATAATTTTTTACGATATGTATCAAATATCAATTGAATGACACATTTCTTAATCCTTAGCTGTCACTGTAAGATTGTTTGCTGCAAGGTCTCAAACAATTAGCAAGTATTTTTTTGAAGTTATGTAAATTATACTTTTTGAATATACTAAATTGACAAATTTTTGGAAATCATAAGTAATAAAGTAATGGTTTAAAACCAAGCACAAATTCTTTTCATTGTTCAAAACAAATTAGTTTATTTAAAATAGATGTATATGTGGCTAGGTCAAAAAGTAGCTAAAGTTGGTGTCACAAGTGTAGTATCTAACAGTTAACTTATATTTTCTAATTAAATTAATTCATGGTGGTTTATTGGGTAAAAATTAATGCTTCTGTGCAAAAAAAAGTTGTGGGGTCTAGCCCCAGGCATATAAGGATTTTCAGATATGAAATTTTCAATTGTTTATTATCTTGATTTGAATTCCTCATTAAATTGTAGGTCCAGTCATGATGTATGTATAACTTTCTCCTCTTGTACCATTTAAAAAATTATGGGATGTTGAGTTTAGAACAAGTACCTAGTGAACCTTTGCAACATTCCACATGAATATAGTTCTTGAAATTTAAATATTAATAAAAATTGTCATGTCAACTAAAAATTTTTATCAAAACTATATTATCAATTTTTCAAAAACTAAACAATTCATTGATTGAAATTAATTGAACAAAAGTATAAATACCCCATCTCTAGATCAGTAGAACAAATCTTAGTAACGCTATGACAATACATAAACTCAAATAGTTGGAGTACAATCACTGGTGGAGGATAGAGATATAACAGGATTTTACAAACTACTTTTGTAGATAAGAATCAATTAAAATTTTTAAGTCACATCAATTTATGAAATGATGTAAACTATTATATTCTGAGATCGAACATCTTCTCATTTGTTGTCAATAATATATTTATTAGTTTTTATAACAATTCTAGCATTTGTCTGTGTTGATGATCTGGTTTGATTTTTAAAATTATTATATTTTTTGCAATAAAAGCTATAGCTTGGATTTTCAAAAATATGTTTAGCAACAGGAATTAATTTTTTTGTAATTATTAATAAAATTCAATATTTCAATTCAATAAAGTTAATAAAAAGGCTATGTCTAAAGTAGGACAGAGTTTAGTCGAGGTTCAAAATTCTTGCCCAAATCTTAAGATAATCGACCAATAGCTGCTGTTACTCAAATCCATAAATGCAAAAGACAGCAATTATCCAAAAAAAGAAGAAAGTAATATCTATTAATTATTTATTTTATTAAAGTTTTAATTTTATGAAATCTCGACCTTCCAAAATTAAGGCAAGCTCAAGTCTCTAAAGAGTACTTTAATTATTGCACTTGGCTCTGTCTGTAACTCAATTAAAAATTATGTTTGGCATAACACAAACTTATATTCATGATGAGCAAATTGTTAGTTATTTTTTGTAGTCAACTGAACTGTGCTTAAATGATGAAAAAACAACCATGATATTGGGTGATAGAAAATATCATAACATCAAAAATGATTCCATCGATATCCAAAGAATAACTAAAAATTTGCTCATCATAAATATAGTTTTGTTATGGGAAAGATAATTTTTAATTGAGTTATAGACGAAACCCCCCAGTGCAATAAGTATTTCAGCTCAGTTCAGTTCATTCAGCATTCTAAGCAAGCATAAACTTATTATTAGGTTAGAAATAATTTTTTTAGTCTATCAACCAGTGATTATATTAGATGTATCATAGTTCATCTAACTCAACTATTCATTTTAACTAATAGTGGTATGTATTTATATATTATTGATAGTAAAAATTAAATAATAATAATTATTTCTGCTATATTAATAGCAGAATTATATAAGCAGCTTTGATAATTCAAATATCATATATCTTGAATTATTTAATAATTTTTAAAATTAATGACATCCTTATAATACTTTGGAATTGGGAAAATTCTTGGCTGTGCCAAGTTTTTCCCTACATCTACAAAAGGTTCTAATAATGTAGCTATTGGTTACAATGAAGTTAGTGTAATGCTAAAAGTTGTTTGTGAGGAACCAGCTGTGTCTATGGATTCTCTTGGTAAACTTATCACATATGCAATAACTTTCATGTTTCATTGTAAAGATCATTACGCTTAGAAAATTTTTTATGTATATAGGTGGTAAAATTGTATGGGCAAAACACAGTGAAATTCAGCAGGTCAATTTGAAAGTACTTGGAGAAGAAGCTCAGGAAGGTGAAAAGTTGCCATTAACTGTCAAAGACATGGGTGTTTGTGAAATCTAACCACGAACAATTCATCACAATCCTAAAGGAAGTTTCATCGTAGTTTTTGATGATAGTTTATGATTTATACATTTATAGGCTTGAGAAACAACGCTTTTGGACAGGCTTTTAAAGTTGTCTGGGCTGCAGATTCGAGTTGGTATGCTGTCAGAGTTTATCATGCCGATATTAAACAGCCAATATCTGAAGGAGGTAGTTTTATAAATTAATCGCTATAACTTCTAGATAAAGTTGATAAATACAGTAGAATTCGTTTTTTTATTTTAGGTAATAGCTTTGTTCAAAGATTATAAAATCATCAGTACGGTCTTCAGTAATTGTATACAAAGTGGATCACTTTAGGCTATTGTTTTCTGAATATGGACCAATGAATTAGAATCTTTCACATCTAATTTTGTGGAAAATTCATGCACATGTATTGGATCATTTACAAAAGCAGCTGCATATAGTAGAGTACAAGGGAGAATGTTAATTTGCTATTCTCACAAGAAAAAATATGCAATTTTAGGTAAAAACTCTGAAAAAATGTCTGAATCATGTGCAGTTGATTATTGCAATAAAGATTAAATGTTTTTGATTTTAAAGGCCATACAGAATTACAAAATGTAAAAGACCATTGTCTTTTATTATAGTATTTATATGATATTTGGTCTGGATAGTACAGAAGCTTGCAAACTAATGGAGCTTATTGTATTGAGTTTTTAGAGAAAAATATTGGATGGTTGATTAGAAAAGTTTTTAATTTCAAAAATCACTACCTTTTGATTAATTGCCCAGGACAGGTAATGAACACATATTACTTCAGTTTATTTCTTGGAATTTAGAACTATTATTTTATTCTTTGAATTACTGTGATAGATTGAACTATATATTGCATTGCATGAATATTTATGTATTAGTAGATATTAAATATTTATTATTATTTACAAGAAAGTATCTTTCTTCATTGATGGTTTGTACGATATTCATGGATAATTTGATAACGGTAAAAGTGTAAATTGTCATAAAATAAATGAAAGATTTTGCAATTATTACTGAATATATACTTCTTTTACAGGAGTCAGATGAGAAATATAAATTATTAATCTGCTTCGATGAAACTAAAGAATATCTTCATTTTAAAGAAGTTGTTGATATATTTTGAAAAGATTTAAAGTAGAACTACCAGAAGATTGGAATGTTATAGCTGATGTAAGACTTCAATGCTTTAAATAAGTGATGCATCCACAGGCTGGGCTTACAATGACATGATTATCAATGGTGTTGTATCCGAATGATTAAAACTGATTTATATAACTTCTTATATTTAGGGTATACTGTATTTCTTTAATATTTTTGAATTGTATAATATCAATCAAGATATATATTTTAATTATCAAAGCTGCTTATATAATTCTGCTATTAATATAGCAGAATTAATTGTTGTTAGTTAATTTTTACTATCAATAATATATAAATACATACCACTATTAGTTGAAATTAATGAATAGTTGAGTTAGATGAACTATGATACATCTAATATAATCACTGTGTTTCAAAAGAGTGAATTCGCTCTAGTGTGTTATAATTGAAAATTCTGATCTGCATAGCATTGAATATAATATTAATTATTTTAGTATAGTATACCAATATAATTAATTAATTTACAAAATTATCTATTCGAACAGCATTTACAGCTTTTCAATAAAAATGTTTTCGCGGAATCTTTTTTTAAAAATGTATCACTGAAACTGGAACGAGAAATAGAACAGCTAACTGCGGACGTACAAACGATTTAGATTCGTCTCGACTTCATGAAAATGATTTGTAGCGTCATCGGATTCTCATCACTACTATCAACATAAAATTTGGGCACTACTTTTTCACTTCGAATAAATGTAGTCCTACTCTAAAATTAGAAAATATTGCTTGATGTCCATGTAAAATTGAGTTTATTGATTGCTATTGTTCAATTGTATTTCCTTATGATCCCCTGGTTTTGTTTTGTTATTGATCGGATGTTAAAATTGATACAAATGTTCTTAGCTCTAGACAAAATTTTTCTTAAATTTCAATATGAAAAAAACAATATATTATCATATCACATTTTGGCTGACTGGCAAAAAATCAAACATTGCCAATGCGCTCTCTATTGCCTCTTAGTTGTTCTTATGTATTTTAAGCCGTTGAATCCAAATATGACACTCGTTTTTCGATAATTTTGGCAGGAATTGTTGACGTAATCGAGTTGATCGAGCTTTCGGTGCGATGCTTTGTCTGGCAGTTGGTCAAGAAAATTGATGAGCAGTTTGTTATAAGTGCGCATGACGGATTCTCGTCTATCGAGAATGTGCTAGAAATGCTTTATTGCAGCGAAAATTTCCAGCAGTTCTCTGTCATACGGAGTTTTTCAGTTGCTCCAGCAATGCTCCGATGGCTGTGGAAGAGCCGTCTGTATTGAGCCTGAGTGGTGCGTTGGGTGCGTGGAAACAGGCTATCGTGGCCTTGACAAGGCTTTCTTTGGCAGTCCTCGAAGGTTTCAGTGGCCTACGTTGTCCATTTGATCGGTCGCTTATCGTTTTTCTTGGCATCATGGAGGTAGTTTATGAAGGGATCCTTTAGCTTGGTAGCGTGTGGAATCAATGCTCGGAAGTAGTTTATCGTTCCGGTAAAGCGTCTTAGATCGCGCCAGGACTGCTGCAGATAGTATGCTATGGAAGGACGAGAGTTGCCCCCTGTTGATGGAGACGGAGAGCGAGAGATGATGGTACGCTCGGATGCGTTACTAGAATCCGCACCCGAGAGGCGCGGCGCTTTGCTTTAACGGAATGATGGAGCTAGCGTGCCCTCACGTTCGAGGCGGCAGTTACATGTACCGCGAGCGAAATTGTTCAGAAACTACCAAGAGTCACATCCCACACGAATAGATCACTGGTTTCACTGAAAGTCGCAGCACTTCACAATGAGAAAAAACTATTCGCGCACTCGTAATGCTAAAAATTCTGAGCACGCCGTGCAAGACCTTAGCGATGCGCGCGCGTATGTCAGAGTCACCATTTTGGAGTTAACGAAGTTTATGTGAAGTTGGAAGCTTTAGTTTGGGATAAGTGACTGTGGTCAATTTGAGTGAATTCATTAATACTATAATCTCGAACTACTTACAACGTACTTGTAATAAGTAAAATGTAGCAAAAGTTATGCATGG